AGTTCTCATCCGATTCGTGAACACATCTTGGACTTTGACAACGATTTTGAGCTAGAATTGAGATGAAAAAGGAAGAATCTAGAACCTAGTGAATCAATTTCAAATTCAGAAGCCGAAGTTAAGTTTGAAGAAGAGGAACCCACAGCAAGAGTGGGTGAAGTAGAGGAAGTCATGGCACAAGACAATCGTACAATCAATGAGCTTTTGGCTTCGGGATTGGACAATGCCACACCTCTATGTATTCAATATCCTGCGGCTGCCCAAGGAAAGACCAAGGAATTCGAGTTGAAGTCAAGTTTGCTACACCACATTCCGAAGTACCATGGGTTGTCCATGGAGGATCCTAACAAGCACTTGAAAAAGTTCGAGGTGGTGTGTTCAACCATGACTCCAATCAATGTTGACGGGAGCATATTGAAGATGAAGGCCTTTCCCTTTTCTCTCTTGGAAAAAGCGAAAGATTGGTTGTATGAATTAGCTCCCGGAACGGTCACATCTTGGGAGAGCATGAAACGGGCTTTCTTGGAGAAGTTTTTCCCAACTTCTCGAGTCATTCTTCTACGAAAAAGGATAAGTGGAATTCAACAAGATGAAGGTGAATATTTTCCTACTTATTATTACGTTTTAAATCTCTTGTTGCTTCTTGTCCACAACATCAAATGAAGGAGGAGCTTCTTCTACAATACTTCTACGAGGGGCTTCTACCAATCGAACGCCAAATGCTAGATGCCTCAGCGGGAGGAGCCTTGGTGGACAAGACCCCCACGGCAGCAAAGACCTTAATAGCTAATCGAGCATTGAATGCTCAACAGTACGAAGGTGTTGGACAAAGGAGCACCCTACGGCAACACCAAGTGAATGAGGTAAGTGCCATCTCCGAACTTCAAAATCAAATGGCTAACCTTACTACTCTTCTTTCTCAGGTTGTGGAACGACTAAAAGTATAAAATGTAAGTTCTTGTGGCGTGTGCTCCATGCAAGGACACCTTACCAACAAGGGCCCACAATTCATAGAGAATGGAGGGTGGGAGACCCTCAATGCCGTGGGATTTGGGCAGCCATACCAACAAAGAAATGATCCCTTTTCTAATACATACAATCCAGGATTGAGGGATCATCCAAATTTCAAATGGCGAGAACCCCAACAAGGCCAACAACAAAGCACATTTAGGCAACAACCCCCGGGTTTCTATCAAAAGCCGTTTGCACCAACTCAACCCCAAGCACAACCTACCCAAAACAAATCAGGTTTGTCCATTGATAATGATCAAATCTTTCAATTACTAACTTCCATGGCGCAGAGTATGCAAATTAAGGACAAGAAGGTGGACGAGTTGGAGAAGCAAGTAGGGCAGATTGCGGAGTTTGTGGGCCAATTCCGAGAGCAAGGCAAGTTGCCTAGTTCAACCGTTGTCAACCCAAAAGGAGGATTCGAATCCGCCAAGGCAATCATGTTGCGAAGTGGGAAATAAGTGGGAACAGCCCCCCAACCATCTAAATCAGCCCCAAACGAGGTGGAAGAGTTGATAATTGAAGAGGATGAACAAAGCCAACCCACGACAAAGGTGGAACCACCATTGCCGCAAGCTTCAACTGCCCCTAAACTGTCCAATCTGTCCAATAAGGGTAAGAACGTGTCCAATTCAATTCCTACTAATGCTTTTCCTTTGAATGTTCCTTTTCCTAGTAGGTTCAAGCAAACAAAGAAAGAGGAAGCCGAAAAGGACATTCTAGAGACATTTAGGAAAGTTCAAGTCAATATCCCTCTTTTGGATGCAATTAAGCAAGTACCAAGGTATGCCAAATTTTTTAAAGAACTTTGCACCACTAGGAAGAGGATTTCGACCAAGGAGGTTGTAAAGGTAAGTGAAAATGTCTCAACCATCTTGCAACGCAAATTGCCCCCTAAATGCAAAGATCCGGGTAGTTTTACAATTCCTTGTGTCATTGGTAATACTAGGTTTGAATCTGCCATGTTAGACTTAGGTGCATCTATAAATGTCATGTCATATTCAATTTATGCATCTATGAACCTAGGAGAGTTGAAAAATGATGGTGTGATTATACAATTAGCCGATAGATCTAATGCCTATCCAAAGGGAGTTTTGGAAGATGTTTTAGTGCAGGTTAATCATTTGATCTTTCCGGCGAATTTCTACGTGCTTGAGATGGATGAATCAGACCATGCCCCTTCATTGCCCATCCTCCTTGGAAGGCCATTCATGAAAACGGCTCGGACAAAGATTGATGTGTTTAATGGAACATTGACGATGGAGTTTGATGGGGAAGTTATTAATTTCAATCTTTCTGATTCTATGAAATATCCTAGTGAGAATCATTCATGTTTTGCTATTGATGTAATTGACTCTTTGACACATGACCATTTTGACAAATTGAACGACGATGCACTTGAATTGGTCATTACACGAGGAATGGACAAGCAAAACGTTGAAGCAACAACCATTGGTACCCACGGCATGCATGGAAACTCCTTTGCCGTGCCCCCTAGTGATGAGGTCATTAAGATGGTGGCTGCCCTTGAGTCATTGCCATCACAAACTGGTAAGTTTTTTGACCCAATTTTAAGTTCAGTTTCGGCTAATAAGATGTTTCCCTCAGTTGTGCAGCCACCTACACTTGAACTTAAGCCATTGCGTAGTCATTTGAAGTACATTTTCTTGGGAGACGATGAGACGTTGCCCATCATTATTTCATGCTCACTCACGGAACCAGAAGAAGGTAAGTTAGTGAGGGTGTTAAAGGAGTACAAAACAGCAATTGGGTGGACGTTAGCCGACATCAAAGGAATTAGCCCCACAACTTGCATGCATCGCATACTTTTGGAAGAGGGGTCTAAAACATCTCGAGAGGCTCAACGCCGACTCAACCCTCCTATGATGGAAGTTGTGAAGAAAGAAGTCATCAAGCTTTTATATTGTGGAGTTATCTATCCAATCTCGGATAGTAGGTGGGTTTCGCCCATTCAATGCGTTCCGAATAAATCCGGAGTGACGGTGGTAGCAAATGCAGAGAATGAACTTGTGCCTACTCGCATTCAAACTGGTTGGAGAGTGTGTATCGACTATAGGAAGCTAAACGCCACTACAAGGAAGGATCACTTTCCCTTGCCATTCATTGATCAAATGCTTGAGAGGTTAGCTGGTTATGCTTTTTATTGTTTTTTTTATGGTTATTCTGGTTATAATCAAATTGTCATAGCACCTGAGGACCAAGAAAAAACCACTTTTACATGTCATTTTGGTACATTTGCTTATCGTCGCATGCCTTTTGGTTTATGTAATGCACCTGCCACATTTCAAAGATGCATGATGAGCATATTTTCTTATTATGTTGAGAAAATAATTGAAGTTTTTATGGATGATTTTAGCGTCTTTGGTGATTCTTTTGATGGTTGCTTGCATAATCTTAGCTTGATCTTAAAATGTTGCGTTGAAACTAACCGTGTGCTTAATTGGGAAAAATATCATTTCATGGTTAAACAAGGCATAGTTTTAGGTCATATTATCTCTGAAAATGGTATTGAGGTTGATAAGTCAAAGATAGATCTTGTGCGTCATATACCCTCTCTTACTTCGGTTAGAGAGGTTCATTCTTTTCTTAGCCATGCAGGTTTCTATCGTAGGTTCATCAAAGACTTCTCAAAGGTGGCACAACCTCTTTGCCGACTCCTACAAAAAGATATGGCGTTTGATTTTAATGAGCAATGCACGACATCATTCAACCAACTCAAGGAGTTGTTGACCACGGCACCAATCATTGTCCCACCGGATTGGAGCCTACCTTTCGAGCTTATGTGTGATGCGTTCGATTACACTTTAGGAGCTGTTTTGGGCCAAAGGAAAGACAAGAGGCCGCATGTCATCTACTACACCTCACGGACGTTGAATGATGCCCAATTGAACTATTCCACTACGGAAAAAGAACTTCTTACCATTGTTTTTGCTTTAGATAAGTTTAGATCATATCTAATTGGTACTTAAGTAATTGTTTTCACTGACCATGCAGCTTTGAAGTACTTGCTCACTAAAAAGGAAGCCAAGCCACGGCTAATTCGTTGGATGTTGTTACTTCAAGAGTTCAATATTGAGATTCGTGATAAGAAGGGAAGTGAGAATGTGGTGGCTGACCACCTAAGCCGAATGGTGCATAATGAGGAGTCCCTACCCATTGCCGAGACATTCCCCGATGAACAATTGATGTCCATAAAGGTAAGTGAGCCTTGGTATGTCGACTTGGTGAATTTTTTGGTGTCAAAACACGTTCCAAACACCCTAAACAGAAACCAACGTGATAAATTGAAAAAGGATGCTAAATTTTATGTTTGGGATGATCCATACTTATGGAAATATTGCTCGGATCAGATTGTACATAAGTGTGTGCATGATATGGAGTTTAATTCAATTTTAATTTTCTGTCACACTTATGCATGTGGGGGACACTTTGGGACACAACGCACTGCCCTAAAGGTTTTAGAATGTGGTTTTTATTGGCCAACTCTATTTAAAGATGCTAGAACCTTTTGCATGTCTTGTGATCGTTGCCAACGAATGGGTAATATAGGGGCAAAGGATCAAATGCCGCAAAATGTCATACTTCCTGTTGAAATTTTTGATGTTTGGGGCATCGATTTTATGGGTCCTTTTCCTTCATCGCATGGTTTCCTTTACATATTACTCGCTGTGGATTATGTCTCGAAATGGGTGGAAGCAAAAGCCACCCGTACTAACGATTCTAAGGTGGTTGCAGATTTCGTGAAAACTAACATTTTTGCTAGGTTTGGGATGCCTCAAGTTCTAATTAGTGATGGCGGTTCCCATTTTTGTAACTACACCATTGAGGCATTGTTGAGGAAGTACAATGTCACCCATAAGGTTTCTACACCTTACCATCCTCAAACAAATGGCTAAGCCGAGGTTTCTAACCGAGAGATCAAGCAAATCCTAGAAAAGACCGTGGGTCCAACAAGAAAGGATTGGAGCATGCGCTTAGACGATGCACTGTGGGCTTATCGAACGACCTATAAAACTCCTCTTGGCATGTCACCTTTTCGGCTTATCTATGGTAAGCTATGCCATCTGCCCGTGAAGCTTGAGCACAAGGCATTTTGGGCAGTCAAGACCTTTAACATGGATATTGATGCCGCTGGAGTACATAGGAAGCTCCAATTAAATGAGCTTGACGAGATTAGATATGAAGCATATGAGAATGCTCGGATTTACAAGGAGAAGACCAAGGCTTTTCATAACAAGATGATTCGTGGCAAATCATTCTCAATCGGGCAGAAAGTGTTACTCTTTAATTCCCGCCTTCGGTTGTTTCCTGGTAAGTTACATTCCAAGTGGGTTGGTCCGTTTGTTATTACTAATGTTTTTGTGCATGGTGCAGTCCAAATCCAAAGCATGAAAATTGGACAAGAATTCAAGGTGAATGGGCACCGATTGAAGCCATACTATGACAACTTTGTGAAGCATGTCGTGGATGACATCCCCTTGCATGTCGTGGACTCCAATGGGGAGTGAATTGGTGCTTCGTCCGGTTGCACGACGTTAAAGAAAGCGCTACTTGGGAGGCAACCCATGCATGCAACAAAGGAAGACCAAGGAATCACTCCAATTCCAGATTTGCGATCCTAAACCCTTCTCTTTGTTGTTATTTCGTTTCTACCATGTTTAGTTTGCTTAGTTGCTGTTTGTTTGTTGGTTTGTTATTTGTGTTAGTTTATGCTTGAAACATTGAGGACAATGTTTGATTTAAGTGTGGGGGGGTAACCAAAGTGTTTTGATGCAAATTCGTAGGGTTGTATCACCCATAATTTCCAATGTTGTTCCTTGCTATTTTTAGGTGTTTTTAGGCTGTTTTGATGCATTTTAGTGTGTTTTACATAAAAATCCAAAAATCCCAGAAAAAAGTTTGAAAAAATGTTTTGAAAAAACCAAAAAGAGTCGTTTTAAAGTTATTTTGTGTGTTTGTTTGTGTCTTAGGGTACCTTCCAACACAATGATGAGGATTCGGTTTTTAATTGCATGACTATTAAAGATAGTTATAAACATGGATGGAAGGTTGATTTACTCTTCGGTTTATGCTTGGTTGTGGTTATAACTTATGAATTCACATGTAATCACAAAGGAAAAAATTAGTTTTTGTAACATGCTTGAAGGAAGGAAATCAAACTAACGCTACAACCTTGTGAGACTTGAGCCTAAACGTTTATTTGGAGAGTTAATAATCTGTGCATTGTTGTTTTCTAAAGTCGTTGCATGATCTCATTATTCTTTGCTTGGTTACTACTTAGAAGGCGTTTCATCATTTAGTTCCAAACACTAGAACTCATGCCCATTTCATTCAAAGCATGCTATTGATTTGCATAACACATATTCAAGATGAAGTTGTGTAGTGACCACCATTTAAGCCAAATTGCCCTGTCCCCCATGTTCATATGTTTTGTAGGTTTTAACCCCGTTGAGCCTTATTTAGCCTATATTGTTTGTTAACCCACATTATCCTCACCTAGCCTAGATTAGGACCATCCATGCCCTTGTTCTTGAAGCATAGTAAAGCATGACTCAAGATGAATTCCTTTTTATCAATATATTACAGAAAACAAGTGTGGGGGAAGGGATGTATGTGAGTGCCAAAGTCTTTAATGAGGCACGGGTAGAAAAAGAAAAAAAAAATTCGTGAAGAAAAGAAGGAAAAAAAGAAAAGTTGTGAAAAATATGAAAAAGAGTTGAAAAAGATGTGAAAATGAACTCTTAATTGTTGATTGTTGAAGAAAGGGTCCAAAACATTGAATTCGACCCTAAGTATTGCATGAATCTTCCCTTGTGTTTAAAAGTTCTAAGTTTCGATTTCATTGCTTTGCTTGCTATTGCTTAAGGAACCTTTGTTATCCCTATCCGTTCTTTGTTAGCTAATACCCCAAGCCCCGTTACAATCCTTGACTTTAATCTTGAGTGTGTGTGTTTCAATTTGTGGAGTTTAGAATTGGTATGAGCATATGGTGTCACTGGTTCTCGCATCTAAGTAGTAGCATTCCATTCATGAGATCATATATAAATGCTTATTAACTCCAGAAAATGCTTTCTTTGTTATATATATATATATATATATGTGAGCGTTCGTTTTTATGTCTACATCAATCTTCTCACATATAACTAGTATAAGGTGTGTAGTTAGAAAATCTGAGTGAAAATTGAGTGCATTTCTTGTAAGGAATTGAGCAAATTCTCTAAGCCATGTTACTACATTCAAAACATCGTTTTAATTGGTTAAATGTGAACTAGTAAATAGTGACTATGCTTAAGTATGTGCTTAAGTGTGAAGATGACTAAAATCTGTGGGAATGATGATTTTTAATATGTCATGTGCATTGGAAATCCCTAAGGTAAACGTTGGAAGGTTTGGGTTTTGTTTGTTTGTTTTGTTTCGTTTTGTTTTTCTTTGATTCTTTGTTTTGCTCGAGGACTAGCAAAAGCTAAGTGTGGGGGAATTTGATAGGAGCATATTTATGCGCCTTAGTTAGCTAGTTCTTATGCATTTTCATTATGTTTTCTTAGTTAAAGTAGTCTTTTAAGCTATTTCTATGTGTTTTCAGGTTTTAAGGGAATATTATACAAAAAGTTGCAAATTGGAGCTTTTTGGAGCAAAAGTGAGCTTGGATTGAATAAGCACATGCTTGGAATAAAAGGTTTGGACGAAATTGAAGTTTGAAGATTTGAGGATTCCTAGTCCAAGAAGGAGTCCTAATTGAAGAAGGATTCCTAATTAACAAGGGATTCCTAGTTGAAGATGGATTCCTAGAAGAATGAAGATTCCTACTCAAACAAGGTTTCCTACTTGAAGTAGGAAAGTTAAGCCTAAAAGTTGCTATTTTGGGTTGATCTTTCCTAAACCTAAATGGCTTTAAGTTTCAGCAACATTAGAAGGTTCTTAAGCGTTGGAAGACACAAACAAAGGTTGGAGAGCATTTCCTTATCCTTGTCGTGGGTTAGGGTCTATTTCCTCTTGGTTTTGGGTTTCTAGAAGCCCTATCCTTTTTCCCCTAACCCTTGCCGCACTTACCCCTTTCTATAACCCTTTTCCTTGCCTTGCAAGGCTTTCTAGAAGCCTTATCTTACCCTATCCAAACCTGCCACACCCCCTAGGCCTTTTTCCTTGTGGATTCTGATTTCTAAAGCCTTTTTCCTTGTGGATTTGGGTTATCCAAGTCCATATCTGATTACCCTAGGCTTTTAGGTGCCTATATGTACTCATATCTCAGCCCTAGCCAAACCACCGCCCATCATAATACATAAATCACGCCAGAAATCATCCCCACTCTCTGTCGCAGCCTTCCATCACCATTCTCCCTAATTTCTGCCAGAAACAAACCCTTGCCGCACCTATCATCCACCCTAACCACTCTCATACCATTCCATATCCATTCCCCCATACAAATACCACCTAAAACCTGTCCCCAAGTTGTGCTGCAGCAAGTTTAAACTTATTTATCTTTGTTTTGTGCATATGAGGAACTAAACCCCCCTTGGCTAGGGGGGATTCGAAACCATGTTTATGCTTGCTATATGATTTGATTACTTCTAATTGCGTTTCATAAGTTGTGGATTCAATTTGCTTATCTATTTGAATTAAACTGATTTTTGTGTGTTGGTTGAGAGTGCACGCTTAATTTTCATGCATAAATCTAATGCTAGGATATAAGAAAGTTTCACCTAATCGTTATGAACTTATATTCGTAAGTAGTAAAAGTTGTTGATCACAATCGTGTTAAGTAAATTCTTGGCATAAGTATCATGCGCTTTCATAGTTACGAGTGCCTCGTTAATACTTATGATTTCCATTGAACGTAATGATCTTTGATTGTATCTCTATTATGCGCTTTCATGTAGGGAGCTTTTGAGGAATAATTTGATTGCAATGCGCTTTTTCCATCCAATTCATTGACTTAAGGGAAATCTGAAAGTTAATTTAAGCGTATCTAATTAACTTGGGGTGTTGAGAATTCATGGGTTATTGAAAAGCAATTGGAAATTGTTTTGTATGCAAGTGTGACATGTGTGGAGAAGAACCCCTTAGCTAGCTTTCCATCCATTCACTTTAACCAAATTCATTTTAAAATATGTTCAAGTTACAAAGTTTCTGTTTTGTTTTTATTTTCGTCAAAACCAAATCCCCCTTTATTTTGTTAAGTCATCTTGGTTAGAAATCCATTTAGTTTGTGTTTTTAAGTGTCCTGAGTCAAGTTATAACCTATTTTCGTCCAATTTGTGTTTTGTGTTCAAAACTGCCCAGATTGTGTTTTTAAGGCAGTTTTGAGTTTCTGGGCTGTTTTGAGTCTTTTGGTTTGTTTTGGTGTTTTAGAGTTTAGTTTTGCATTCTTTGAGTCTAGTTTAATGTTTTAAATTTTGTTTTTTTGTTTTGAGTCAGTTTTCAAGTGATTTAGCAATCCCTCCTAATCCCCGGCCTAGAACGATCCCTACTTACATACTTCGCTACAATTGATAAAAAGAAGGTTTAATTTGTGTGCTTATATAATTCGCATCAGGAAGCCCAAGTTATTCAATAGAGAACACCATACAACCACCCAATCAATCTCTTTTTCATGCAAAACTAATGAACTTCTAGCTTCCACACAACACTTCTCTTGATCAAGCCATTATTTGTTTAATCATGCTAGTCTTCGAATCATTGATCTAACTAGGATAATTCTTAAGACGCACTAACTCTTTCGAGATATTCCTAGACTTAGTATAAAATCGAACCAAAGGAGACAAAATGACGTTCTCAAAGCCCAAGTCCACCATGACCTAAAGGTCCCCAATAATTTATGTATGGTACATTTAAAATACGTGTAATTTAACTAATCATTGTGTATGAAAAAGGAGAATTCCTTTATAAATACATACGTACGTTTCTAATACATATATTATATGCGAATTTACTAACCATGATTTTTTTTGTTTTGTTTTTTGGGTCAAATTATGTGTTTTGTTAAGTCTTAGGGGGTGTATTCAATTGAGAATGTGAGAGATTTTAATGGATTTATAAATCCATGGATTTTTATGGAGTTTAATTGATTTATAGAGATTCCATATAAAATTTTGATTCAATTCCCTCGAAATCTCATGGGAAGAGGTGAGATTTGTGAATGCTTAAAATACACTATGAAATCTCTCCAATTCCCTCTAATTCTTCAACTTTCTCAAATTCTTTAAAATTAATTTCTAATTGAATACACCTGGAATGTTATAAACTTCTTTAAAATCTTAATTGAATACACCTGAATTTATAAGGATTTTAATAAACTATTTTAAAATTCTAATTGAATACACCTAGAATTTCAGAGAATCACTTAAAATCATGATTGAATACCCCTAGATTCATTAAAAGAATTCAAATCCATTAAAATCCCAATTGAATACACCCCTTAATTTACAAGTATTGGTGATAGTTTCCAAAAAAAAAAAAATAATAATAATAATAGTATTGGTTATTGTTCAGAAGGACGCGGTGTGGTTCG